GGGTGAGTACGGAGCAGTGGCCGTTGGTTGGGGTGAGTACGGAGCAGTGGCCGTTGGTTGGGGTGAGTACGGAGCAGTGGCCGTTGGTTGGGGTGAGTACGGAGCAGTGGCCGTTGGTTGGGGTGAGTACGGAGCAGTGGCCGTTGGTTGGGGTGAGTACGGTACGGAGTACGGAGTGGCCGTTGGTTGGGATGAGTACGGAGCAGTGGCCGTTGGTTGGGGATGAGTACGGGAGCAGTGGCCGTTGGTTGGGGTGAGTACGGAGCAGTGGCCGTTGGTTGGGGTGAGTACGGAGCAGTGGCCGTTGGTTGGGGTGAGTACGGAGCAGTGGCCGTTGGTTGGGGTGAGTACGGAGCAGTGGCCGTTGGTTGGGAGTGAGTACGGAGCAGTGGCCGTTGGTTGGGGTGAGTACGGAGCAGTGGCCGTTGGTTGGGATGAGTACGGAGCAATGACCGTTGGTTGGGATGAGTACGGAACAGTGGCCGTTGGTTGGGGTGAGTACGGAGCAGTGGCCGTTGGTTGGGATGAGTACGGAGCAGTGGCCGTTGGTTGGGGTGAGTACGGAGCAGTGGCCGTTGGTTGGGGTGAGTACGGAGCAGTGGCCGTTGGTTGGGGTGAGTACAAAGCAGTGGCCGTTGGTTGGGGTGAGTACGGAGCAGTGGCCGTTGGTTGGGGTGACTACGGAGCAGTGGCCGTTGGTTGGGGTGAGTACGGAGCAGTGGCCGTTGGTTGGGATGAGTACGGAGCAATGACCGTCGGTTGGGGGATACGGAGTATGGAGCAATGACGTCGGTTGGGATGAGTATGGAACAATGGCCGTTGGTTGGGATGAGTATAGAGTAGTGGTCATTGGTTTTAGCAGTTAGTAGGTCATTAGTGAGGTTTAGTAGGGCAGTTTCTCTGGAATGTTGTGGGCGGAAGCCAGACTGTCGGGGATCAAGAAGGCTGTTGTCGGTGAGGTAGCAGTTCATACGGTTGTGAACAAGGCCCTCGAGAAGCTTGGAGGCAAACGGGAGCAGGGAGATGGGTCTTACGTTATTCAACAGGTGGGGTCCAGCGAGGGATTTTTGAGGATGGGGAGTAACCAGTGCATGTTTGAGTGGGGAGGGAAAGGTGCCCATGGAGAGTGAGAGTTGAAGATGTGGGTTAGAGAATTTAGGATAGAGCAGGAATGAGGCTGCAACAGTCGTGAGGGGACAGGATCCAGGGGGGATCCAGGGGACAAGTGGCGAAGTGGGCCTTAGAAAAGAGATCGGTAACTTCCTTGGTGGTAACAGGGTTGAAGGGAGAGAGTGTAGTTTGGTGTTGGGCCTGGTATGTTGGTTAAGATGGGCATCTTAGAGAACACAATATACAGGGATATAGGAAGTATTGCTGTAAACACACACAGGATGAGCTGGATGGACCGATGGCTTTATTCATCCTTACAATGTCCTGAGGGAAGTTCTCTGAGGAATACGATGCTGGTTGAGAGTCAGATAGGGGGGTCTGGGAGCATCTACTGGAGTAAGGTGGGACTCCTTTTGTTTGGAGATTACCGTGAGGCAGTGTATACCTTGGACTCCCGTGAAATCCTTGATGATGGTATGAAGTGGAGGACTGAAGAGACGGCATCCCTCAAATGCCAAGCTAATCAGATGCTTTTTGGATGTGACATCAACATCCCACCACCTGAATTCACTGCACACCTGTATGGACATCAGACCCTTGTGGGACAAAAAGTTGGGAAGTTCCTAATGAGCCATCACAACAACTGGTGTAAAGTTTCAGATGTCTCTTCCACTTGTTCTATTACACCCGCAGTGTGAAGGTGGGTCTCTGGTAGGATCCATAAACCATAAAGAAGAATTCTCCCTCAAAGGGAAACAGATCCACACCACTCTCAGGTGAGGCTCAGGCCCTCTTCAGGTGCTTCCATTCCACATCGAGGAATACCTCACTTACAGCTGCAGGAGCTCTGAAGGACCCGAGTTTGGAGATAGCGGCCCCAATGCTTTATGCGTAGGGGAGTACACATCGAGTCAGTAGAGGCTCCTGACTACAAGGCAGAGGACTTCTTAAGGAGTTGAGGACTCTGGGGCGGTAGATCTAATATCACAGGGTCACCAGATGCCAGCGCCCTCAGAGGGTACAGAGTAAATGTTCCCAGAACTATGGGAATTTGAGCCGGGGTCACCCATGGCAGCGGGACTGTCCCCTCTGTGACTAGATACAGATGTTGCGACCACCTGGTGGTAATGGACTGGGCTCAGGGCATGAGGCGCGGACCCGGGTACTATGCAGGCAGCTGGTGCTGATGAGGACCATATGAGTGAAGGTGACCAGGTCAGTGGTGGGAATGGACCGGAGATTGGAGTTCTGTGTGGTCTTTGTAAAGCAAGAAAGATTGCAGCCACAACTGCCAGAAGAATTGTTTAGGATAAAATCTTTCTTGGTCTACCTGACCTTGGCTTGGCATCAAGAGATCCCCGAACTTTCCACTTCTTAATAGGTGATATAATAGAACTGATCGGCATATTCAAGGCTTTGGACATCTTTTTATGTCCTTTTCCATCTTTATAAAGTTCCATTACCTTGTTACGCAGGACTTTTGACAGTTCTTTTCTGTTCCCCATGGCTCAGTATCTAGCCTGCTCAGTGCTTCCATGTAAGAGCGAACACACTCACCAACTATTTATACACTGACACTGATTGTGATGTAAGAAGCCACAGATGTGGAACATGAACCTCTAACTGCCATTGTAACCCGCGTGTGCCACCTTGTGTGTCTGTACCGAGGCCGGACCTTCCAGGGGGCGGAGACTTCTGATCCGGGGGCGGAGACTTCTGATCCGGGGGCGGAGACTTCTGATCCGGGGGCGGAGACTTCTGATCCGGGGGCGGAGACTTCTGATCCGGGGGGGTTGGGGAGACTTCTGATCTGGGGGGCGGAGACTTCTGATCCGGGGGGGGTTGGGGAGACTTCTGATCTGGGGGCGGAGACTTCTGATCCGGGGGCGGAGACTTCTGATCTGGGGGTGGTGACTTCTGATCCGGGCCATTGGGGTGATTTCTGTTATTATGATTTAAAAAGGAGCGAGCCATCGATCTGATAATACATGGGGTCACATGATCATCATCCTCCAATAACAGAGCATTTTGTGGCAGATCCATCATATTATCATTATCAATGCCAACATTTCACAATTTCTGCCGGGGGAGGGAAACCTTTGAGCACAACTGTAACATTGAGGAAAAGCGGCAGGAAAGACCTTCACAGCAGAGACCTCCATCCTCCCAGGTCACTAGCACAAAACCGAGGCATGCTGGGAGGAGGCGGGGTTATAGTGGGCCAGCCAATCCCATAGGTGGCAGTGTAACCAACGGTCAATGGATGAGAGAGAAACCGAGAATCAGAAGTGAAATGTCTTTTATTTATATGAATTGAATTCTAACAAAAACATGGAAAAAAAGATTCTGGCTTTACAAGACTGGGGATGTGAATGTTGGGGTGGAGGAGGTGAATGTTGGGGTGGGAATGAGAATAGTTGGGGGTGGGAATGTGAATGTTGGGGGGGTGGAATATGAAAGGGGAGGGGGGGGGGATGTGAATGGTATTGAGTTGGGGGGGAGGAGAATGTTTGGGGTGGGGAGGTGGGAATGGTAGGAGTTGGGGGGAGAATAGTTGGGGGCGGAGAGGTGAATGTTGAATAGGGGGGAGGGAATGTTGTGGAGAATAGTTGGGTTGGGATGTTGGGGGGAAGGGGTGAATAGTTAGTTGCAGGGGGGTGGTTGGAGGAATAGTTAGTTGGGTGCAGGGAGGTGAATGTTGGGGGCAGGGGGTGAATATTGGTTGGGTGCAGGGAGGTGAATGTTGTGGGCGAGGGCAAGAATAGTTGGTTGCAGGGAGGGAATGTTGTGGGCGGGAAGAATAGTTGCGTGCAGGAGGTGAATGTTGGGGGCGAGGGGGTGAATAGTTGGTTGCAGGGAGATGAATGTTGTGGGCGGGAAGAATAGTTGGGTGCAGGGAGGTGAATGTTGGGGGAGGGGGTGAATAGTTGGTTGCAGGGAGGTGAATGTTGTGGGCGGGAAGAATAGTTGGGTGCAGGGAGGTGAATGTTGGGGGCAGGGGGTGAATAGTTGGTTGCAGGGAGGTGAATGTTGTGGGCGGGAAGAATAGTTGGGTGCAGGGAGGTGAATGTTGGGGGCGAGGGGGTGAATGTTGGGGTGGTGGGGGTGAATGTTGGGTGCGAGGGGAGGTGTTGGGGTGGTGGGGGGAATGTTGGGGGAGGAGTTTTAGTTACCCCTCTCTCTTCTCCTCCACAGCTCCAACTGCATCACCTCGGCCGGTCTGCTCCAGTTTGCGAAGAAGTTGGAGGGTTTGGGGAGCATTCGGCTGCGTCAGCTCCTCATCACACAGAACGGGTTGGACATGAACCTCCTCACTACCCAGAATGCTCTGAGGACTCTGGAGGGAATTTGTTGTGTCATCAAAGACAGCTGGGACCCCACACAAGCCTTCGCTGACCATGTCAGTGTCATGTGACCTACGTATTGTATAGATGGCGGAACGTGCTGTGCATGCTCTGTACGTCACACCGCGGCCTCTGAAGACTATTCTTATTATGCATGTTTCATTATGGATGTCTGGGGGTGGGCGGGGCAGGTTGGAGGGCCGCCCTGTCTATCTCCATATGTGCTCTTCTATGATCTTCCACTGATGCCAAAAAGCTGCAACCATGACATGCAATTCACAGAGTGAACACCGGAGGAGGCATGACATGCAATTCACAGAATGAACATCGGAGGGAGCATGACTGCAATTCACAGAGTGAACACGGAGGATCATGACATGCAATTCACAGAATGAACACCGGAGGGGGCATGACTGCAATTCACAGAGTGAACACCAGAGGAGGCATGACATGCAATTGACAGAATGAACACCGGAGGGGGCATGACTGCAATTCAGAGTGAACACCGGAGGAGGCATGACTGTAATTCACAGAATGAACAGCGGCGGAGGCATGACTGCAATTCACAGAGTGAACACCGGAGGGGGCATGACATGCAATTCACAGAATGAACACGGAGGGGGCATGACTGCAATTCACAGAGTGCATGACATGCAATTCAGAATGAACACCGGAGGGGGCATGACTGCAATTTGACAGAATGAACAGCGGAGGGGGCATGACATGCAATTCACAGAATGAACACCGGAGGGAGCATGACTGCAATTCACAGAGTGAACACCGGAGGATGGCATGACATGCAATTGCAATTAACACAGAATGAACACCGGAGGGAGCATGACTGCAATTCACAGAGTGAACACCGGAGGGGGCACAGCTCACATTGACGCCATGTGACGCCGTCAGTCCGTCTCCTGAGGTTGTCACCTGGAATCATGGTTGTCACTCGCTCAGCACAGGCAGCCTTGGACCTGGAGATTGGAGGAGGGGTGGGATCTCAGGAAGGGATCAGAGATGTCGTCTGGCAGATGGGCTATAGACAGTCATGCTGGGATTTGTTTTCATTGCGGGGGGTGTCTAGAGATCCCGAGACAGACGGGGCCACTGCTGTTCTTCACACCATTTACATGTGATAGATGGAGATCAGATTGTGTATTCTGCTGCAGGGGGCAGCAGTGCTTGTCAAGGACCCCCATTATCTGCAGCACAGGGCCACGGACACTAGAGGGCGGCAATGTGTGTGCCAAGGACTCCCAATATCTGCAGGGCCACAGACACTAGAGGGCGGAAGTGAGCGCGCCAAGGACCCCCATTATCCGCAGGGCCACGGACATTAGAGGGCGGCAGTGAGTGCACCAAGGACCTCCATTATCTATCTAGAGGGCAGTGGCGCTCCAAGGACCTCCACTAGAGGGCGGCAGTGAGTGTGCCAAGGACCCCCATTATCTGCAGGGCCACGGACATAGAGGGCGGCAGTGAGTGTGCCAAGGACCCCCACAGGGCCACGGACACTAGAGGGCGGCTGTGAGTGTGCCAAGGACCCCCATTATCTGCAGGGCCACGGACACTAGAGGGGGGCTGCAGTGAGTGTGCCAAGGACCCCCATTATCCGCAACACAGCGCCACAGACACTAGAGGGCGGCAGTGAGTGCACCAAGGACCTCCATTATCGTCAGGGCCACGGACACTAGAGGGCGGCAGTGAGTGTGCCAAGGACCCCCATTATCCGCAACACAGGGCCACGGACACTAGAGGGCGGCAGTGAGTGCACCAAGGACCTCCATTATCTGCAGGGCCACGGACACTAGAGGGCGGCAGTGAGTGTGCCAAGGACCCCCATTATCCGCAACACAGGGCCACGGACACTAGAGGGCGGCTGTGAGTGCGCCAAGGACTCCCATTATCCGCAGTGCAGGGCCACAGACACTAGAGGGCGGCAGTGAGTGCACCAAGGACCTCCATTATCCGCAGTGCAGGGCCACAGACACTAGAGGGCGGCAGTGAGTGCACCAAGGACCCCCATTATCCGCAGTGCAGGGCCACGGGCACTAGAGGGCGGCAGTGAGTACGCCAAGGACCCCCATTATCTGCAGGGCCACGGGCACTAGAGGGCGGCAGTGAGTACGCCAAGGACCCCCATTATCTGCAGGGCCACAGGCACTAGAGGGCGGCAGTGAGTACGCCAAGGACCCCCATTATCTGCAGGGCCACGGACATTAGAGGGCGGCAGTGAGTACGCCAAGGACCCCCATTATCTGCAGGGCCACGGGCACTAGAGGGCGGCAGTGAGTACGCCAAGGACCCCCATTATCTGCAGGGCCACGGGCACTAGAGGGCGGCAGTGAGTACGCCAAGGACCCCCATTATCTGCAGGGCCACGGACATTAGAGGGCAGCAGTGACCACCTGACCCTCCACAGACAGCAGAGAGTGGAGGAAAACGAGAAATCTGATGAGTGACACCATCGCTCCTCCTCTTTCTTCCCTCACAGGAAGTGCGTTGTCTCAGGAATTCTCTTCCCAGCTCCTCAGCGGATTGTTGTTGTCAGCAGCCTTGGGGTGGAAGCACTCCGTTCCTTTCTATGCCAATGTAAATATTTTTTTTTATCTCTGAAATGTTATTGAAATAATTCTGAATAAAGGTGATTGAAAAGCTGAATGGAGGAGTGTCTATGGGGGAGGGGCTGATTGAGGGTGGGATTGTCCAACCAATGAGAGAGCCTGGACTGCCTGTTTTCACCTCCGGTGGTGATGGACAAATAGTTGACTCTCCCAGCAGCCAATAGAATGAATTGTTTGTGTTACTATAGTGATGTCAGTCATCTTGTTGGGAAAGATCAATATAATGGGAGGAGCTGAAATTTCTGAGGAAAATGCTGCTTCTGGCTTCCTTCAGTGTTTTTAAGGCCTAGCTCCTTGATCATGTGATCTCTGCAGAGCACTAGAATCAGCCAATCAGAATTCTGTTTCTTCCATGCAGAGTATGTGCATTAGTGTCTCTATATGTGTCATTAACCCCAGCCTATGAAAAACACGCATGACACGTTACATACAAAGCCGCTAACGCATTTCTCTGCTGTAGTGACATGTTCTTGGCTGATCCCGCCTTCAGCCTGCAGTGAGAGCAGAGGGAAGATAGGAGGGGCAGCTGGTGACCTCTCCTGAGCATGCTCCAGTCTCAGTTCCATACTAAGCTTTTCCATTCCTTTTTCTTATCGGTGCAGATCATGTGACTATGGCCTCACCTAGGTGGGCGTATACACAGTGGTAAAAGATCCCTCCCCCCTGGGGGCAGGATATAGGATGCTGACTGAATACATTCACTAAAAACTTACAAATGTTCATTTTCATATAAATCCGAATTAAATAAATCGAATATAATTATTAAACCTGTAAAGTAGGAGAGTCCTGGATGCAGAGAACGCCTGAAGGACATGAAAGCCGCTGTCAATCATCTCTGACTCCGCCTACACCATATTAATACACATTTGATGTTCAATAAAGATTTCTAGGGAGAAGGAAGACAGTTATTTGATATTTATCATCCAAGTTGAATTGCTCGTCTGCAACAGTTTTTTTTAGTCATGTGATTGTCAGAGCACCAATCAGAACTGGCCTGACACAGACTCGCTCTAGAGAGCACACATCAGCAAAGTAACAAAAGCCCCACCCCTGAGGATCTAGCCCTGCAGATTCCAAAGAACATGCAGCAATCATGTGACCACACAGCACCGCTGCAGAAACAAAATCCGGGGACATGATCTATGATTTATGTGAAGGCATTACGGCGATTACACGTCTCAGTCACATCATCAACACAAAAAAGGAGCCCAAAGCAGCATTTTCTCCAGGAAAACTGGACCATAAAACCCATTTCTTGGAGGTCATGGAGGGACACAAATATAAATAGACCTGAGTTATACCGCCAGCTACAGGAGGTCTGGGCACAAACAAAATCATGTCATCGCCAGCCTGACCCTGACACCTCTGTACTCCGCAGGCTCCAGTATTGTGGTCCTAAAGGTCTGAGGGGACAAGTGACTCTCCAACTGCAAGTACAAAATCCTGTGTTTGAAATTCTGTGCCCCTCTTGGGCAGAGAACAGATACTGTTGGGGCATCCAAAATATCCAACTGAAGAGTGGACAACACAAAAAAACCCACTCTGAGGACTGGGGAGCACCTGCAGCCCAGGAGCCACCTCAAGGACCAAATAGGAAGAGATGAGGTGGGATCTCCAACCAGATAGGAGAACCTATCACATGACCAACAGCAGATTATGGAGGATCAAGCTGATGGCCCAGACTAGGATGGAAAAGGTCACCACCAAAAGGGAATAACTACACAAGGAAGGAAGACCGATCCTGAACCAGCAAGAAGCTCACAACCAGGACCCACAATAAATAAGTGGGCCAGTACATTTACAATGGGGAAGAAGACAACCTGATGTGGTCAACAGAACAAAACACTGAGGATAATTCCCCAGGAGGGACAAGGACAGATTAAAGGAAACCTAAGATAAAGGATGGGTCCAGGAAAACGACCAGCTAGTCCACAAGGGAAGGCCAAAGGCCCATCAACGCTACTCCACAACCAAGTAAGGCTGCCAAGCCAGACAACCAAACAAGCAAGATAAAGCAGAGAATGTACGGTATAGCACACCATAATGATGCACAAGGGTATGAGGAGACTCCTGAGCCCACTAGAGAAGTCGGGTTTGATCCTAGGAATATTAATGATCTAAAAAGGAAGAGGGTGACAGAAGACATCACAAAGGAAGCCAGAATGAACCACTTGGCAATAACCCCAGAGAGGTGAGATGGGGACTGTCGAAAACAGAAGATAAAAAAGGCTAAATATCCTCTAACACCCAGGGGACTCCAGGGTCTTCAAAAGAAAATCATGCAGGTCCTGTCCACCCCTCAATCATTGCTATGGTACTCAGAAGATCTTGATTTCCCCCGATCCAAAAAAGCATTAGCAGCCAAGGAATGAGGACCAGGAAACATGACTAAAACACAGAGCATCAGCATCCTGGGGAAGGACACGACCAGGGAAGGTATCTTGAGGACTTCCCCCAGCAGGGCTGCCAGAGATAGAAGACCAGTCCCACTGTGAAGAGGTTTCACCAAGTTCTGTGATCAATTACCACAATCCACATGCCTTCCTGCAGCAGAGGGCTAGGATGTTCCACCTGCTGGCAAATTCAGGGAGACATTAGACATTCCAAAGCAAATTCCCACCTAATGAAGTGCAGACAAATGCATGTCGCTCCTCGCGGTGTGAACAGTACTGGTTGAGGTGAGCCAGGTTCGAAGACTGGAGCTTTCTGATGGTGCATCCAAGCAGGGCCAACATGCTCAGCATCATTCAGTGCAAGGTTCTGATGAGCAGTTGCAGAAGGAATTTCCAATATTGCCCAAAATATACTGTCAAGGTGGAGGTCCCTCAATATGAAAGCAACTGATTGTTCTGTGAGGTCAGACTATAGTCCCAGAGATATGGTTACTCCAGTACCACAGAGCCCTGCACCTCTATACAGACATCTGACCCATGAGGAACATACAGAATCCTGTAACAAGCCATCCCAACTCAAGCCTTTTACTCCACACGTTCTATGAAGCGAGAGTCCACCACAGCTCTGGAGAGATCCCTTTGGAGGCAACTAACCAACTGTGACACTGTTAGGGAGGTTTGGGTCACTGCCAGTTCAGGACAGACAGCAGAACCAACTACCTCAAACTGGGATTTGAAGAGGATTCTGTCAGTTAAATGCTTAATCTTTGGCAAACCTTTCACCCAAATGGTGGTCTTCTAATTTAGGTGGTAAAATAGTTAACAGTAGGAACAGTCCACCATCCAAAGAATTCCCTC